CCCCTCCACCTCCCCTCAAAAAAGAGCAGGCCTCCAGGGGACATTAACCGTGCATGGCATAACAAGCTACAATAAGACCAGGCACATACCATCACATCAGGGCTGGAGGAGGCCACCCAGTAGCAGGAAAAGGGTCCCACGGGTGTGCAAAGAGTCCCCACTGTTAGGAATCCCCTAAGAACACCAAGCTACTTGGCCATAACATATACATTTATATAGAGAGGACCTCAATCAGATCCCTTCAGGCTCCCTGATCTCTGCCAGCCCTGTGGGCGGTGTTTCTGTGGTGTCCCTGACCCCTCTGGTTCCTCCAATCCTTCCTCCCCCTCCTCTGCAGGACTCCCCAATCTCCACCTAATGTTTGGCTGTGGACCCTACACCCTCTCCATCAGTTGCCAGGTGAAGTCTCTCTGGCCTCTCTCATGACGATTCTGCTAGGCTCCAGTCCCAGAACACTACAGGCAGGATAAACTGTAGGGTTGAAGGTTTTGTGGCTGGGTTGGTGTCCCCGTCCCTCCGCTTGAGGCCTTGCTTGGTTACAGAAGATGGCCAGTTCAGGCTCTGTGTCCCCCATTACTAGGAGTCTTTGCTAGGGATACTCTCATACATTCCATGGAGTTCCCATCGCACTAGGGTTCTACTCGCCCCTGAAATACCCCTGATTTCAGTCGTTCATCTTCAACACCTCATCCCTCCTATGTCCGACCCCACTGGCCCCCAGGCCACCAGCGGAGTCTATTCTATTTCCCCTCTCCAGGGGGATCCTTGCGTATCCCTTTACAAATAATATTAAATATCTTGGGGTAACCCTAACCGATCAAGTGAAAGACCCGTGTGTTAAAAACTTGGGAGTCTTTGAGGAAGGAAACTGAAGACACGGAAGATGGAAAGCTCCCCCACGCTCATGGAGATTAACATAGTAACAATGGCCGATCGGCAGGTTTTTTTTTTTTTTTTTTTTAACAACTTTGGTTGAGTATGTCTTAGAGTAGACAGACTGATGCTCACCCCACTCCTCCGCTCTTCGCTCTTCGGTTCTTTCCAAACTCAGTTCCATTTCTGTAACTCTTGGGATGAAGTGATCAGTTTCTCGGGAGCTGGGCAGCTCCTTAGGCTTCGGGTTTTATCGAGGCTCTGGGTAGCGGAGCCCAGACCCTCTTTACCGACACGCCCTGTGAGCTGGCTAATGGCTTTCATTCCCAATTCCCTCTAAAACTGCTCAGCACAGAGATTAGGGGAGGAGTTCTGTGGCACTCAGCTCAGACCCGGAGGCACGGAGGTGAGCAGGGTGTCATGCCACCTCTGTAATTTTTATGTGTCCTAAGTCTTATTCCTAAAAATATGGGGGGTTCCTCCCGCCCGGCGGGCTCACAGAGCAGCAGCAAACTCCCGCGGGTCCCCAGCGGTGCCGGGCGCCGGCTCCAGAGTCCGGCACACGAGCTAGCGGCTACAGTTTCCCACCAGCGGGAGGGCATGCGCCACGCGGCCGGTGGCGGAGGGTAACAGACACGTAAACACAAAAAATAGGCATAAGTGTTTATTAAGGAAGAAGGAGAGAGAGAAAGGGAGAGAAAGGGGGAGAGAGAGAAAGAGAGAGAGAGAGAGAGAGAGAGAGAGAGAGAGAGAGAGAGAGAGAAGAGAGGGGGGAGAGGAGGAGAGAGCGAGGTCACAGGTTAAAAAGGAGTGGGCGTGGCTAGGGCAGGGACCGAAAGAATAACATTTTGTTGTAGTTGTTGTTATGTTTTGAATTATAAACAGGTCTTGGCTCCTCGGAGACCCTGTCCTTTCCTTCTCAGCATTCTGTTTAATGCTGTGATCCGCTCAGGGCTTCCCAAAGCCTTTCCAATTCAATGTCAGGAACTCAAGTCAGATTGGGAAGTAGTTAGGGTTGTTCCCTCTTGACACGGTCCAGCTTCTCATTTCTTTTCCTTTTTTTTTTTTTTTTTTTTTTTTTTTTTTTTTTTTTTTTTTTTTTTTTTTTTTTTTTTGGTTTTTTGAGACAGGGTTTCTCTGTGGCTTCGGAGTCTGTCCTGGAACTAGCTCTTGTAGACCAGGCTGGCCTCAACCTCACAGAGATCCGCCTTCCTCTGCTTCCCGAGTGCTGAGATTAAAGGCGTGTGCCACCACCATCCTGCTCAACTTCCCATTTCTAAGAAAGCACCATCTAAACACCCCACAGGTGCTTCTGCCTGCCCAGCAGCTTGCGTCAACCATGGTAGTAACTCGTATAAATGATGTGCCTAGATAGGTATCCATGATCAATATACATGGATTATATCTCTACCCATGCATGCTACTGTTTGATCACCCCTTCCCCATGGAAATCTGATCTCATGGGGGGGAAAATCTGATGGTCTAAAAAGTAGATTCTTTTGGTAACTAAGAAACCAGGAACCAAACTTTTGTGTGATTTTTAGCAAAGTGAATGGAAATGATGCATTCGGAAGATTCTGGTTAATACCAGGACGAGAAAGGGTGAGAAGGCTAGCTGCCACGTGCACACCTTCCTCTGGGAGGATTCCACGTGTGCATCTAACTGGCACATCCTCATGGTGTTATGGCAATGCTGCCAGCCAGACTGGGAGAGGTCAGGCACTCGATCTGAGTTAGACTCCCCTGTGGGCAGAAGAGGGCGTGCAGCCGCCCCCTCTTGGGATTGTCCTAGAAACACTCATAAAACTTTCGGTAGGTTCAAAACGTGTTTTTGTAGTTCATGAGAGAGTTGTTAACTTAGGCGGCTCTAGCGAGCTCCTGCTGTGTGCCCTGCTCTTTTCTGAAGCAGAGCACGCTGTGGGGAGTAAAACAAGCTCTCGGGCTTCTAGAAGGGTTTAGAACATGCCAGCAATGGCGGTTGACGGCTTAGCCCTCCTAGCACTGACACCAGGTAGGTAGCCTCACCCTTCTTTTATGGGATGGTGGGTGACCAACGTTAGGATGGAAGCTGAGTGTCACGACCACCTCATGCTCGTATGCTTGACCGCCTGAGTGGGTCCTAGAGCCACACCTACATAGTCACCTAAACACGAGTGAGAGGCTCCGAAAAGCGGGGGCTAATCTGACAGCTTTTATTTTTTTCTTCTGGAGATGGGGTATCGTTATGTAGCTCTGGCTGTCCTGGAACTCTCTATGTAGACCAGGCTTGCCTCAAGCTCACAGAGATCCACCTACCTTTGTTTCCCAACTATTGGAATTAAAGACTTGTGTAGTAATGTGATGTTATACTCTTTGGACTCTTTTGGGGGGCCGCCACCCAGCTCCCAAATGAATTACACATTTATTTATAAATGATCAGCCTTAGCTTGGCTTGTTTTTTGACTGCTTTTCTTAACTTATACTATCCCATCTACTCTTTGGCCTCTGTGTTTTTCCTGTTCTCTTCTTTAAACCTTACTCTTACTCCATGCATTGCTGTGTAGCTGGATGGCTGACCCCTGAAGTCCTCTTCCTTTTCAGGCTACTTCTCCAGAACCCCTTCTCCCTTCTCCCAGTTTTCTCCTCTGATTTATTCTCTCTGCCTACCAGCTCCACTTGCCTTCCTACCTCGCTACTGGCCATTCAGATCTTTATTAGACCATCAGGTGTTTGAGACAGGCGCAGTATCCAGCTTCACAGTTTAAAAAGTGCAACATAAACAAAAGTCACACACTTTAAAATAATATTCCCAACAGGCGTGTGCCGTCACACCTGGCCCCTGACCACTCTTAATATTTTACTGTGTCCCATTAAAAATTATTCGTTTTATGTGTATGTATATGCTACAGAGTGTTTGTATGCGTGCACGTGTGTTCAGGAGCCTGAGTGTGCCAGAAGAGGCATCAGATTTGACACAACCAGAGCTGGAGTCACAAACAGTTGTGAGCGACCATGAGGATGCTGGGAATCAAATCCAGGTCTTGTAAAAGAGCAGGAAGCGCTCTTAGCCTCTCGGGCCATCTCTCCAGCCCTCTGTATTTCTATATGTACATATGTAGAGGTGTGTGTATATGTACATGTACATATTAAATTATTTCTTCTTTGGCAATTTCATACACAAATGCAATGTATTTAGATCATAGCCTGTCCTAGCTCCTCCCCTCACGTCCGTCTGTTGAAATAGGAGCGGCGGGGCTGCGTCCCCAGCACCCCGCCGCCCGCATGGCTAGGTTATGCCCGAAATAATTACACGGAAACTGTATTCTTTCAAACACTGCCTGGCCTGGCTAGGTCCAGTTTCTTATTGGCTAGCTCTTACATATTGTTCTAACCCATTTCTAATATTCTGTGTAGCCCATGAGCTGGCTTACCAGAGAGGATCTTAACCTGCGTCTGTCTGGAGTGGGAGCATCATGGCGACTCCTCCACTAAGCTTCTTTTTCCCAGCATTCTCTTCTGTCTACTCCGCCTACCTAATTTTCTGTCCTATGAGGGCCGAGGCAGTTTCTTTATTATTACAAGACCCACCTCCATCATCCGTCTGTCTCTGTGTCTTCTGCCCAATGCCATTCCATCCTCCTATTACCTACTGAGGCAATTAGTGCTTTCCACTAACTGTGCAAGAGTGTGGGCCATCTACTCCAGCAGGGGCAGCCTGCTAGGCTGCATCTCTGAATAAAACTGACTCTAGCTTTCAGCGGCTAGCATCTGCTAAAAGCTCTCAAGTTAAGGTGGGATCTTGTGAGCTCCTCCCCTCCCCATGCTTGGAGGAACATTGACTGGCCTCATTTTAGGCCCGATATATATATATATATCTACAACCTTGATGATTGGCTGGTGCTTATTCCACAACATCCTAAGGGCCAGGGCATTTTCCTTAACTCTCGGTGGCTGTCAAGGTCAGCCGAACTAACAGGTTCCCTACCACTTAACACTTCCTGTTCTTTCCACAACCAGATCTTTTTATGAATCTAGGACTCTCAACAGTTTCCGAGTATTCCAACTGTAAATATTTCCCCGGTGTCCTTGTGTGGAGTGTGGATTCTGAGTGTGATGATGCTGACAGTGTAAACATTCCTTCCTTCTAGGCTGGTGGACGACCGCTGCGTGGTGCACCCAGAGGCAGGGGACCTTGCCAACCCACCCAAGAAGTTCCGAGGTAAGAAAAAAAAATGAAGACAGTGTGACCTAAGAGGGCAGTTTACTTTGTGTCTTAGGTAATAATGTTAGAATTATACTCAGTGTGTCACGGAAGATCACTTCCAGCTCCCCCATAGGTTTTTGTTGTTGTTGGACATTGAGGGGGTCCTGTGATGAACAATTATCTGAGTTCTGTTTTGCAATGTGACTTTGATATGCTGACAGGAGACCCTGGCAATTACCATGAAAGATGGCGTTCTCAAACCAGTTCAGAAGAACTAAATGCCCTTTATTCATAGATTCCTGGGGACAGTCCTATTGTAGATGGTACAGTGTTTTACTGGTGGCGTATAGGTTATCTTTATGGAAGTCCCGTGTTGAGTGAATGTGGCTGTTAGAGCCACACCCAGACGACGCAAGGTGACTGACTAACTGTTGTCTTAGCTCGCTGTTCCAAGTGAAGACGTGAGATGACTAACTGGTGTCTTAGAGCTACGTTCCAAGTGAACTCTTAGAAGCAGCTTCATGGTTTTCTTTTTTTTTTTTATTTGCCTCTTAACACAGATATTTTATTTTATTTTATTTTATTTTATTTTTTTATTGAGAATAGGAAAAAAAAAGTTTCCGCCTCCTCCCAGCCTCCCATTCCCCTCCCCCCCTCCCTCTTCCCTCCCCCTCCCCCCTCTCTCCTCCCCCTCCCCCCACTCCTCTCCCCCTCCCTCTCCAATCCAAAGAGCAGTCATGGTTCCCTGCCCTGTGGAAAGTCCAAGGTCCTCCCCCCTCTGTCCATGTCTAGGAAGGTGAACATCCAAACTGGCTAGGCTCCCACCAAGCTGGAACATGAAGTAGGATCAAAACCCCTTGCCATTGACCTTGGCTTCTCATCAGTCCTCATTGTTCGCCATGTTCAGAGAGTCCGGTTTTATCCCATGCTTTTTCAGTCACAGTCCAGCTGGCCTTGGTGAGCTCCCAATAGATCAGCCCCACTGTCTCAGTGGTGGGTGCACCCCCCGTGGTCCTGACATCCTTGCTCGTGTTCTCCCTCCATCTGCTCCTCATTGGGACCTTGGGAGCTCAGTCCAGTGCTCCAGTGTGGGTCTCTGTCTCTATCTCCATCCATCACCAGATGAAGGTTCTATGGTGATATGAAAGATATTCGTCAGTATTGCTATAGGACTTCATGGTTTTCTTGACTGCAACTGTTCCAGTTGCAGCAGCAGGTTGATTAGAATTTGGCTGCTGCAAAAGGATTAATGGGACCTGTAGAACATTTTAGAAAACAAAAAGTAGTAACTAAAACAACATTACAGCAACATAGAAACATTAAAAGCTAGGCTCTGCATGTAAGAGCGAACATACGGTAGTGATCTAAGGGTCTCGCTTAGGTTTCTTTCCTTCCTTCCTTTCTTTGTTCCTTCCTTCCTTCCTTCCTTCCTTCCTTCCTTCCTTCCTTCCTTCCTTCCTTCCTTCCTTCCTCTCTCTCTCTCTCTCTCTCTCTCTCTCTCCAAGCTTTCTCTATATAACCACCTGGCCGTCTTGGAACTCACTCTGTAGACCAGGCCTTGCATCACCACCTGCCAGGCTTTCACTGAAAGCATCTTTGGGAGGAAGGGGTCTATTTTAGCTCACAACTCTTGGCCACATCCATCACGGAAGGAATTCAGAGCTGGAATTCAAAGCAGGAGCTGAAGCAGAGGCCATGGAGGGAACTGCTCCCGGCTTGCTCCCGGCTTGCTGCCCAGGGCTTGCTCAGCCTGCTTTCTTCCACAGCCCAGGACCCCCTCTGGCTAGGGGTAGCACTGTTCAAAGTAGGCTGGTCCCTCGTACACCAACTTCTAATTAAGACAATGCTCCAGAGTCTTGCTTACAGGCTGGTCTGATGGAGGCATGATTTTGTTTACAACAGAGTAAAATTTCGTTGTGTATATATGCCACATCTCACCTGATCCATTCATCTGTTGACGGATGGGTACCTGGAATCTCCATTTCATGGGTATTGTGAACACACCAGCAATAAACATGGATGTCCAAGCATCTCTGCTGGAGGCTATAGAGTCCTCTGGACAGAAAGCCAGGAGTGGACAGCTGTTTCATATGGTAGCTGTATTTTTGTTTTTTTGTTTTTTTTTTTTTTTTAGAATCCAGAACCACCAGCCCGGGGATGACACCACCCACAGTGGGCTGGGCATCCACATCAGTCACGAATTAAGAAAATATCCTACAGGCCTGCCTACCGCCCCGTCTTCTCAATTGAGGGTCCTTTCTCTTCTGATGATCCCAACTTCTGTCAAGTGGACATAAAACTAGCCAGCACACAGTTCTTTATATATTCTAAGTTTTAACTTCCCTGTCTGAGGTGTGGCTGACCAGCAGTGTCCCCCATTCTGTCCGTTCTGCTGATGGTTTTCTTTGCTGTGTGGAAGCTTCTCAGCTTTTTGGAGTTCAGTTTCATTATTCTTGCTCTGTCTCCTGTGCTGTTGGAGTCCTGTTTAGAAGGCTCCAGAGAGAACAGTCTACTAGGGAACTGGGACAACGTGCTGTTTGTAATGGGGAGAGGCTGAGTGCATTGTCTGAGGGCTGTATTGTCATCTAAAGTGGGCCACCTGAGGGCTGTATTGTCATCTAAAGTGGGCCACCTGTCATGAGCCTCCAGGGCATCTGCCACTGTCCCAGGAGAGCTGAGCTGGATAGTAAGAACAATGCCCTCTGGGGAGGCTTTGTTAGCCTTTCCCTCTTCAGAGGGACGGCCATTGCCGCTGCCTTTGTCATTATACAAATGTAGTTAAGTTATAATAAAAAAACATAACAAGTTTCTATTAAATGCTCTACCCCTTACACCCAACCCTCTTCTGGGGCAGAATTCTTTTCATTTTATTTTTGTTTCTTAGTCACTGAATTTTACCCCTTCTTCCCCCTTGAAAATGGCCATTGGATACCGTGGGCTGAGATAGCCAAGCTCTCTCTGGGATCGTAAGATCAAACTTGGTTCCCAGGGGTGTCCTGAGTCTTTGTGCTCTGGCTATCGGCATCCAGATCTCCCCCCCCCCCCCCCCCCCCCCCCCCCCCCCCGTCTTTAGGGGACTTTCCCTTTCTACAGAGCAGGTTGTGTGCAAGTGTGGGTTACTCTGGAGAACCTGAAGAGCCAGAGCTAACAACTCTGTGCCCAAGAGGCAAATAGATCAGATGCCTGGGCCCTTGTTATCCGGTGGGCAGGGCTTCAAGGTGTCAATCATTCTGAGCTGGAGCCTGGCTACCCTGTAGTCTGACTTAGCTCACCACCCTGCTGACTGGCTCTCGGTTCCTGCTTCCACTTTACCCCCCCCGTCTTTCCACTATCACCAGAGATGGATGATATCCTTTCCTGTCAGGACCCAGAGATCCCCTTGTCTGAAACCCCAACTCTTCTCTATGATTTCTCCTCCTGGCAGAGGCCAGAGCCCAAGTCTCTGAATTTGACTCACTCTGTGCTGGTTTCCCCGGCGGCAGGCAGCAAACTTTCCCAAACGCCGCTGCTGCTGTTCAGCCTTGGGCAGCTTGTTGTTGCAGCTCTGCCCGCCTTTGTCACTGCCTGTGTCTCTCTCCTGCCTCCTCTTCAGCTGTAACAGCCATTGCAGGTTCACAGAGCTGACTCACGAGCCCAGCATGTCCAGACTGCTCTGCTAGTCCCAGAACTGCACTGTTCCTTTCTTAGCTGCTGTGAAGGGACAGGACCATCACCCCCTCGGTTCCTCTCCTTCAGTCGGGCGTATGCATTCTCTAGTTAATTTGAACAGTTTTCCCTGTTCAGCAGTGCAATGTGACTCCAACTCAATTCCTCCGATTTCTAGAGAAAATTAGCTTTTTTGGAACTAAAGTTCCAAATTGGCCAAAGTCATGATTTCTCCAGCTATGCACAGTTGTGAAGTTTCCTGCGGCTATGCCATGACAACTTTTACCTTTGGAGAGGGTCTAGCAATGTTTACCCCTTCCTTCTAAAGTTCCAATGGCAAACCCAGACTTCTCCCTGGGGAACCAGTGCGTTTACTGAACTTATGTACAGGGCATGGGGAGGGGTCACTAGAGGGAGTGTGGGTGACTTAAAGTCCTGCCAAGGTAGGGCTGCTTCAAGCGTGGATGACTCCTCTGTGTCTGTGTAGACGGAGTTCCCAAACCCCTCCCTGACATCCTGAGGGCCGTGTGCCATTAGGACAGAAATATGTGCACTAGCTGGCTTCTCAGGCAAGGGTTCAATGACCCTCCCACCAGCTCCTGCTCTGAAGGAGTGTCTGCAGCCCGCCAGTCGTCTGCAGGGCATCAGTCTGCAGGACATCAGCCTGCATCCCACCAATCTGCAGGGCATCAGTCTGCAGCCCGTCACACCTGCTGTGATGATCTGCAAGCGGGCACAGCTGACCTGATGAGGAAGGCAGCAGTTTGGCTTGGAGGACAATGACATCACAGTTGCCTTGTCAGCAGAGAAAACCAATTTGTCGCTAAGCAGACTTCCAGAGGTTCTTACAGCCTCCTGCACAGTTAGCTCCAGAAGGAATCATTCCAGGGCAATACTGTAAAGGAAAACAGTGGTTTTGTGTTACATAAGCTGAGACCCTTTGCTAATCAGATTCCTTGTTTGATTTATTCAACCTACTTGATTTTGATATTTTTTTGATTCAAGGTCTTGGGTGGGGCAGGGTCACCTTGAATTTGCTACGCAGCTACAGGATGGCCTTGAACTTTGACACTCCAGTCTCCACCTCCCAAGTGTTGGGATTACAGGGGTGTGACATCATGCCTGGCTTTCTCTGTTTTTTTTTTTTTTTTTTTTTTAAAAAATGATCTGTGATAAAGATGCGTGCACAGCAGAAACTCGTCCTCTTCCGTTTCCTCAAATACTTGTGTATCAGCTGGGCTTCACATTGTTGTGGTCAAATGCCCGAGAAGAAACCCATCCAGGAAGGAAGGGTTTTCTCGGGCTCATGGTTTGTGGAGTCAGGGTAGGCGCAATGGCAGGAGCAGCTTTGGGCTGTGGCAGCAGGAGTG